TTAGATGCTGTCATTCAAATGACAAGAAGGAAGCAAATGAGGAAGACTTGTGGGAATAGCGGGGAAGATTATCTGGGCAGAAGGAACATGATGGGCAGCGCCCATAAGGGAGGAGGCATGGCTTGGAAACAGAACTCACGCTGGTGTGTCTGGGGTCTTCAGGAGAAGAATAGGGCAAAGATGAGGTCAGAGAGGCAGGCAGGGGCCAGACAATGTCATACTTTGTAGGCAGGGTGAGGAGTTTGGGTTTAATTTCAAAGGCAAGAGAAGCCATTGTAGGGTTTTCAGTAGGGAAGTCACATGATGTAATTTACATTAAAAAAAATCATCCTGGATTCTGTGAGAAGAGTCAATTGTAGGGAGGAGGAAGGGAAGCAACGAGGTAAATTAGGACACAATGGCAGTACTGCATGTGAGAGACAGTGGCCACTAAAAGGAGATGGGGCTGGCACATGGACAGATATGGCTACTTGACTCACTGGCTGGGGGAGCTGATCAAATCAGCCTTTTAAGTATGAATTTTCTTACCTATGAAAAGGGTATAATAATGTTCTCTTGGAAATTTGTTCTGGGCATTAAATGTGATAATCCCCAGCACATACTAAGTACACAGCGACATTCTAGAAAATGAAAGGATAGTGTGCTAGTAACCTGGATCAGTATCAGCAAGCTCTGGCCCATCCAGTCCATTACCTGTTTTTGCTGATACATTTTATTGGAACAGAGCCATGCTTGTTTGTTAGATCTGCTTCCACACTGCAATAGCAAAGTTGAGTAGTTGCAACAGAAACTATAACAGCCTGCAAAGCCTAAAATATTTACAGCCTGGCCCTTTAAATTAAAAGTTTACTGATCCCTGATTTAGATTGTAATGAAGAGTAGAAGGTAGAAAGAATGTAAGAGATATGAGATGTATCTTTACAAGGAGGAGGCAGACAATTCAGAGGAACGTTAGTAGTGTGTCATGCACTATATTTTTTAAGTGCTCTGCAAAAGAAAAGGCCCCAGCTGTAAAGACATGATTAATAAAAGGAAGCATTTGAAATAAACTTCAAATGTCATCATCACACAAATCAACCAATAGTATGTAACATTTATATAGTGCCCTTATATTTCCATTATGTTCATCAATAATTTTAGTGTAAGAGAAGACAAGTAATGGAAAACAGCTAGCAATAAATTGCAAGAATCATAAATAAAATACAGAGTTCATCCATGCAGTCAATAAATATAAATTTGGCACAAAATTTATACTAGGTCCAGTGCTAGGTGCTGGGATGCACAATGGTAGACATGACAGCCACAGTCCTTGCTTTCATGAAAATTGAGTTTAATGTTTCCTTTTGGGGAAGGACTGTCCCCAGCTTCATGTAAGTACCTTTGTGTAAATGAAGAAATACCCTCTCCTCCTTCCTCAAGATACTTTATCTCCATCTGTAAGAAACATTCCACAAAAGATTAATTTTTCTAGAGCTTTGATTGGCATCTGCCAACAATTTTAATATAAATGTTCAACTCTACTGTAATTATGATGTAAATGGCTCTGGGGCATGACACCTATTGGAGTACAGAAACATGTTTAACTCTATGCAGAAGCATGAAATGTATGTGCCCACAACAGAAAGGGATGATAATATGGAAAGAAGGTACTGCCTGAGCTGAAGATTATGAAGACTGTTTCTCTAGGCATCAATTTTTACTAAGTTGATGATCCCTAATTATGGTTTTATTAGTAGCCTGCGGGTATCTGGAATAATTTTATATGCCATTTTAAAACTTTCAATGTGAAATTTAAGCAAGCAATATATTATACTTGAAAGAGTGGACAAGGGGAAGATTGTAGTAAAATGAAATGATCAATTATAGGATGTTCAAGTAACAAAAAATTTTGGGGTCTCTCAGAGCAAAGCCGGTTTGCATAGTTTTGGGGAGTTGTGTTGGTATGTTTCTATTTTTATTAAATTTAATTTCTTTATTTACTTTCTAGTTTAAACAGAAAAATCCAGATTTGAAGTTCAAAGCTTTATATCACATAAGTAGTATATGATTAGAATTCCTAGGGGAGAAGTCCCATATGGGGCCATTAGAAACAGTTCTATAAAACACAAAGGCTAAAACAGGCAATTCCATTGGCACTGGAATCAAAGCATGCATGGAGTAGGTCAAGCACCTTCATGATTTTTTTCCCTTTGTTCAGAAACAAAATGAAAAGATGTATGAATTGAGAGAGCCTAATTCTGGTTTAGAATCAGAATGGAGGAGCGTAAAGGGTGAAACAAGAAAGAACTAAGAGTAATATGTGGGAAGAAATAAAAATAATTTTTTATTTTGAGACAGGGTCTCGCTGTTGCCCAGGCAGGAGTGCAGTGGTGCAATGGCAGTTCACTGCAGCCTCCACCTCCTGGGCTCAAGCTATCCTCCTGCGTCAGCCTCAGAAATAGCTGGGACCACAGGCATGTACCGTCATGCCTGGCTCACTTTTAATTTTTTTTTTTTTTTTTTTTTTGTAGAGATGATGTTTTGCCCAGGCTGGCCTCAAACTCTTAGGCAAGTGATCCACCTGCCTCAGCCTCCCAAAATGCTTGGATTACAGGTATGATATACGGCACCTGGCCAGATGAAAATATTTTAATTATAAGTCTGGTCCTCTTCATTCTCCCAAATTCTATTCTGAAGGTTTTTATTCCTCTTCCCCTGTGTCCTAGATGCCATGCCAATGAACAAAATAAAGTTCCTCTTTACTTTTCTTTCCTAAACACCCTCAACCAGAACTAACATAGTTCAATTCACTGGGAATTCAGGCAGAGATAACAAAGTTTGCTTTTCCTTATTAATAAGTGGCTAAAAGTTACCAGTTTATTTTCCATCACTAATTAGTTTTGCTTTACATTAACTTTATATGTGTATTTTTAAGGAATGATATTACATATTGTCATTGCTTTAAATGTTTTTGAAATCCCAGACCAAAGTGAATGAAAAGAAGTGATGAAAAGTTCTGATCAAAACGTGGAGATAAAGTAGAATGAATCATACTGATTATTTTGTGTTCTGTAAATCTATTGTGAAGTTTCTTATCCTATTTCATAAACTACTTTGGGCCTGGAGTTTTAAAATCAACAATTAGTTATCTCAAATATGTTGAGTCATAAAATGTTTGTCATTTTACAGAATATATCAGATAATCTCTATTTCCTTTCAAATGTTTAAAAAAAAAACCTCAAAGGATTAAGAAATGGAAATAGACACTAAAATAAGTCACTTAACCATATCCTACATGGGATTGCAACACTAACTCGATAAATAAACACTATACTCTCATTCCACTTGACCTTGATAAAAAGATTGCTAAGTCATGATCTTTAATGAGTGTTTAGAAGTATGAGTTTCTACCCAGTTGAGACCATTCTTGAGGGGAAAGGCCAAAAGCCACAGGAGAGAAAACATTTTGGTTCAACTTTGTGCTTGGTGAGCTGTTTTCCCTCACAAATTCACAAATTAAGGGACATATTTCTACATACTATCATACTCCCATGGCTTGTGGTAAGCAAATATATATCTCTTCTACTTGAGAAATGTTTTCTATTACTTCTTTTGTGAAAGAAGCACACATTCATTAAACATCCTCTCTTGAACTTTAAACAAAATTTCTCATAGGCGAAAACTTTCTGTATTAACTCGTTTCCTTGTTTCTTGGAGATTTCATAGAACCTACGTAAGAAACCAGCTTTTTGCTCTTGCGAACGGTCAGGTAAAGAAATTCTGCTGTTTAAACATAATTGTTAGTGTCTAATTATAGTAAAAACTACTTTGGAAGGAACAATGTCTCATGGTAGCTGTGAAGAAATGTCATAAATTCAGAAGCTGAGTGAGTGGGAGAGAGGAAAGTTCATACAGTCCCCTTTCTACTGATGGTTCTTGATGACATTAGGTGGCTTAAGGACAGGGGATTAAATAATATTGGATCACGTAATATGTGACTGCCTTTTCTGCTTCTCTTTCCCTCCTGATAATGTCAAGGAGAGAGTTTGCATCCAGTTCTGGTTTTCCTGTCCCTTTAGAGCTTTCTAAGTTTTCTTTTTGACAGAGAGGGCTTCAGACAGAATATAGAATAAAACAAGAAAGGAATAATATAATAATACTTTGTTTTAATCCTGTGTGTTCAGTGCACATGAAAGTGATTTTTCCAAAGATACTAAAAGAAAGTTTCTTTTAAAGATAAGTGTGTTTAGAACTTCCAGATGACCGAATACATGGAGGTGTCTGGAGAGTGGTACCTCAGGGAGGGCACGGAAGCTTTCATGCCCCTTCCCCTGTACCTTGCCCCATGCATCTCTACATCTGTATTCTTTGTGATATCCTTTATAAGAAAATAGTAAATGTAAGGTACTATGTCATTCTTTATGGTACCAAGTAAAGTGAGAGTCCTGTTGTCCATGGTCAGCCAACCTGGGACTGTCAGGGAAGTCCTGACCATTTATTTACTATGGGAAACATGATTAGAGTTTGACCAAATTTGTTCAAATTGGGGGAAATGTAACTGAAACACCAGTGGCTTGTGTATCGCACCATTTGAGGGACCAGATCATATGACCACAGTGTCATCATGAGGAACAGACCAGAATCTCCAGCTTCAAGCAGTGGATGCCTAGGAAGGAAGATCTATGACCACAGACAGAAATCTGGTGGCTCTAATTGGCCAGTCCCGGTCTATGTGACCCTGACTCAGTGGCTGTATTTCCCTGTACCTCAGCTTCCCTTTAACAAAATTGGATAAAGGGTAAAATATGTGTTTAGATAAAAAGTAAATTAATGTAAATAAAAACATTAAGTAACAAAGGTGATGCAAGAATGTGATGAACTACAGGGTCCTTGGCTCATGCCTATAATTCCTAGTACTTTGGGAGGCCTAGGTGAGAGGATTGCTTGAGTGCAGGAGTTTGAGACCAGCTTGGGCAACATAGTGAGTCTCTGTCTTTTTTTTTTTTTAAGGAAGAGGCCAGTTTTATTTAAACACAAAACATGCACATAAGCTGTCTACTCAGTTTCTTCGCTGCACAGCCTGGCATTGGAGTTGGTGACTTTGATGGCCAGCTGGGCAGCTCTTTCCACGATGGCTTTGCGGTTCTTGGAGGAAACATTGTGAGCGATCTCAGTGCAGTAAGATTTGTTACACACCAGCAGCACTTCCAGCTCCTTGAAGTTGTGGACCAGGAACTTCCGGAAGCTACTGGGCAGCATGTACTTTGTTTTCTTATTGCTCCCATAACCAATGTTAGTCATTAAGATCTGGCCCTTGAACCTTCTACGAACCCTGTTGTCAATACCTCTAGGTTTCCGCCAGTTATGCTTAATTTTGACATATCGGTCTGACTGGTGCGGAATGAACTTCTTGGTTCTCTTTTTGACGGTCTTGGGTTTCACAAGGGCTCTAAGGGCGGCCATGATGCCAAGGAGGAGATCGCTGCTATCTCCATAGGCAGTGCCGTGGAAGAGAGCGAGTCTCTGTCTTTATGAAAAATCAAAAAATTACCTGAGTGGGGTGTCATGTTGCTGTTAGTCCTAGCTACTCAGGAGATTGAGGGAGCTATGATTGTACCACTGCACTTCAGTGACCAAAAAAAAAAAAAAAAAAAAAGGAAAAGGACAAATGCTATAAAGTGACTGAGTTTGGAACCCACTGTTACAGTTCTCTAAATAGAGATTAATTCGCCTTCCACCAGACTTCATCTTAAACAAACAAACAAAAAACCACTTCCTTTTCTTCTTTCTCTCTCCCTTCTTCCTTTCTACCCTCTATCATTTAACAAAATGGATTCCTAGTATATATAATATGCCTGACATATTAGGCACTGCAAACTCAGAAATGCAAAGATCAGTAAAGGTATTATCATCTTTCTTCTCAACCTGCTCAGTCTCACTGGAAAGACAGATGTGCAAACAATTATTCTATAGTTAGAAATGTAACATGTATAGCTGAGCATGGTGGCGCATGCCTGTGATCCCAGCTACCTGGGAGGCTGAGGCAGGAGAATTGCTTGAACCTGGGAGGCAGAAGTTGTGGTGAGCTGAGATCACACCATTGCACTACAGCCTGGACAACAAGAGTGAAACTCTCAAGAAGGAAGGAAGGAAGGAAGAAAGGGAGGGAGGGAGGGAAAGAAAGAAAGAAGGAAAAAAAAGAAAGAAATGAGGGAGGGAAGGAAGGAAGGAAGGAAGGAAAGAAGGAAGGAAGGAAGAAGGAAGGAAGGAAGGAAGGAAGGAAGGAAGGAAGGAAGGAAGGAAGGAAGAAATGTGACATGTACGCAAGGTGTATAGTAGCCTAGAGGAGGAACAAGCATTTGGGAAGCAAGGGGAGATGTCAGATTTCAACCTTGAGAATCAGTTCGATGAAATACAGTCCAAGTTCATAACTATACCCTTAATTTATTCAGCAAACTTCTACTGAGCCAGATGCTGCATTAGGTCATGGTGATTTGGACATGAAAAAGATACAGTCAAAGCATCAAGAAACTCATGATTTAAGTGGGATATAAGCAAGGAAAGAAATGGTTATATAGGTCTATAACCCTTACCTGAAACCCCTGAAGGCAAATATGTTCACAATTCTGAATGCTTAGTATAGTGATTTGGCATATGCACTATATATCACATAATAGTAGTAAAAGGGCCTGGGGAAGTCCCTCATAGTTAAGACATAGAACTAGTCATACTAAATGGAATAAAGAGTATAAATACCCTTATGTCAATTCTGTTTAGGTGTTTAGTTTTTGTAATTGTTTAGATTTCTGAATTGCAGAAAGTGTTTGGGAACATATTCAAAATTGTTAAGAGTTATGCTGCAGAGTATTTTGGCAGAACAAAGAAAGGGCAACAAACTATGCTGTAATAGAAAAAGAGTCATGGAAGGCCTCCCTGAAGATGTATTTTCTGAGCGGAGTCTTGATGGATGAATAGGAATTAACCAGGCAGAGAAGATGGGTGAAGCAGAGAACTGGAGGATGGGGAGAAAGGTTTTCTTGAGAGAAAGGTTTTCTAGGCAGAAGAAATGGCTTGTAGAAAGACAATGGCCTTGGTGTTTGGGGGGAAACTGCAAGTAATTCAGAATGGCTGTGCTTGTGGGTTGCCAAAGTAGATGGAGAAGGGGATGGAGATGGAAATGCTGATGGAGAGCAACTGAGATCTAGTGGAAGAAGTGGACAAGGACCCATGCTGAGTTAACCTTTATTGTGAAAGATAGAATGAGATACTAAGTAATATTTTAACATTGTATAATCATATTAACAGATTTGAAATTTTAGACAAACCATAAGATTGGATAGAGCTGATATACTACACAAAATTAAGAGGATATTGAAGTTGTTCAGGTAAGAAATGGTGAGAAAATGCAAGTTGGCATGGTTTGGCACATAGTAATTGCTCAATAAATCATAGCCCTTAGAGGATCAAAGGCAGGGATGTGGTGGAGATAAAGAAGAAGGGACATTCAAGGACTCAGTATTTGATTGGGTTGGGAGGTAGGAGGCAGTCTCCTCCCCTGACTTCAAGGTCTTGGTTGCTTGGTGGAGCTAAGACAGAGCATTGGTAGAGCACATGATTCTGTTGTCCTGGGCAGCAGAAAAGAAGAAATGTTTTCCATTTTGGATGAAATGAAATTGGGTTTGGGATTCAGGGAAATTGTCTTAGATGGATTTGGGAGTCATTATGTTATAGCTAAGCCTTAATGTGAATAAGATCATAAAGAGAGAAATAAGGCAGACTAAAGTTAAAGTCCCAGAAGATGTTTAAAGAGGAGATAACAGCCCTATCAAGTGCTCTTGAAAAAAATCTAGATAAGGGTCTAGAAAAGACTTTCATGGCTGTAGCAAAGAGGAGATCAACTATAATCTGAAAAGAGAAGTTTCAGTAGCTGAGGAAGGGCAGAGTCCTGATGATTATTAATAAAGGAGTGTGCAAGTGAGAACATAGGGACCCCAGTGTCAACTACTGTCCCTTTAAGGTACTTGGCTGTGAAAAGAGAAACAGAGAAGAGACAAACTTAGAGACAAATGTAGACTGCACGGGAAGATTTTTGGTTTAGTTTTTAAAGGTAGGAGCGATGTTGCCAGACTGTCAGTTACTTCTTGCCGTTAGCTTTTCAGCTGTGTTGCAGCCTGCCTCTGGAGGAGGGGAAGTGTCTTTGATGCTCCTGAACACAAGCATTTCTCAGAAACAGATGGCCAGATAAACAGACTGGCTAGGAATAGCTCTGCAGGGAAGTACCCCTTTCTGGGCTTCGCTCCCAGGTGCTGCTCCTTATGCTAACTTCCTGTAGAGTTGTTTTTGTTTTTGTTTTTGTTTTTTTTCCTCTCCCTCTATTGTCTACCTGGCTGGCTGCTTGCCTCTTAAGATGGCTCTTGTGACTGTATCAGTGCCAGGGAGTTGGCTTGTAAAAATACCTGTCTGTGTCTGTGGAGGCTTTACCAAGGTGATGTGCCTCCCAAGCCACCAACACCTGGCCCCTGTAGTGTGAATTGTCTGTCTCACACATTCAATTTGGCAACCAATTTTTATGAGTGCCTGAAGGGATAGACAAGTAGGCTAGGCGCAGTGAGAGATAAAAGAAAACAGGACCTTTGCCCCAACGGACCTTAAAATCCAAGGCATAGGATAGTCTTGTAAATAAGGATGATAGTGGTTCTTAACTTTCTGGGGACACCCAAATCCTTTTGAAAAGTTGATGAAAATCATATGCTTTCTCCCTATGAAATAGCACACAGAATTTAACATACAATTTCAAGGGGTTTATGAACTTGCTAATTTGGAAGTCGCTTATAAATCTCATGTGATGAATGCCTAAAGAGTTATTGTTGCCCTAGTAGCGTGTGACCTTGGCTAAATAATGCTTCTGAGATTGTTTCCAGATTATGCTGCCTGTCTTGTAAGGGTTTTCTGAAGACTAAATGAGACAACATGAATAAAGTGCTTAGCACAGGTTCCAACACAGAGCTAATGCCCGATAAATGTTATTCCAGTTTTCTGTGTGTTACGGAGAAAATGAGCAAGGTGTTAGATGGGAGTTACAGCTAACTTGCTGTAGTGTTCTCTGGCAATGAAATCATTCCTGTATTTAGCTGTTACTTGTGGCAAACGTATGTTTCTCATACTTTAGTCATTCCCTGCCTACCTTTTGAAATTTTGCTTATCCCAGTCCCACCTGGACAATTACTCTTTTAAAATATTTTTTAAACATACACACTTGCTTAGGAAAGAACTTCTGGATCTCTACCTTAGATAGAAAAACCGCTTTCACTTGCCTTAAATGGAAAATAACAGTATCAATAAACAGTGAAACTAAACAATGAAAATGAAACAATGTTATAAATTCCAGTTAGATACCAGTGCTTACCTAGGGCTTTGAGCCTGGGGCCTGCTCTGTGATAAAAAGGGAGTTTACTGTTTGAGAGAGAATACTTTCTCCTTGTATGCAGAAGAACTGAAAGAGAATCCGAAAAGAAATACATTTCTTACTGTGTGATTCATAGTCATTTAACGCCCTGGCCCTGCTAGCATCTTCCCTGGCTCCAAGTGAGATGTCCTCCCTTTGGGAGACATTAAGTGAGGGCAATCGCTCCCCTCGCCCCACGCCAAGCCAACTAGAATAGTAAATTCTGTGGGGGCAGCGGCCTGATATCCACCTATCCTGCCGGCCTTGTCCAGGACAGGAGTGCAGCAAAACTCTTGTCATAAGAGCTCCTAGAAACAAGGACACTCAGAGGTCCTGCTCCCCATTCTGTTGCTGGATCAGGCTCAGTGCCTTCGTCACACCCCGGGCAGCTCCGGAGTTTCATGTTTTAATTGGGCATGTAGCTGAAGCAATCTGAGGGCTGCCGGAACCTCGGTGGGGTGGAAAGGAGTCTGTCTGTGGGCATTGCTTAGAAGCTATCTGCCCAGCAAACACTGCTTTTACATAGATCGTACCCTACAGATTAATAATAATAATAATGCAAAACCCAAATTGCCTAATTTTATTGCCTGATTTTATTCCCTTAAGCCCTAATAAGCACCAGTAAATCGTAGAATGTTATTTTATTATTATTAACTATTATCATTATGGAGATGGCTAATGAAACTCTATTCAGCAGCCCGGAGGAAAGGGGACTCGCCCTCCCTTTCTTCCTGGAACTGCCTCTGATGCCCCCAGTCACCCTGAGGCCACCCGCCTCTTACTCTGGCCCCCTGGCCCACTGGGTGTGATCTCAGGGAGGTGGGAGCAGCGCAGCCTCGGCCTCCGGCCCAGCCGCATCTCTACCTGGGCCGGGCCCGCCCCCCGCTCACCGGCCCGCGCTGGCACCTGGCGGTCGTCGCGGACACAGCAGGAGGAGGAGGAGGCGCCGCGCGGGGCGGGCGTCGAGGGGCCGCGCTTGGCGTTCCTGAGCCGCGGCCGAACTTTTTCCCAAGAAGTCCCAAGTCTGGGGGACGGAGGAGCGGGACGGGGAGGAGAGACCGGAGTTCCTGGAAGGAGCAGCAGCAGCAGCCCCACAACATGGCCTCCTCTGCCTCCTCCTCTCCCGCAGGCGCCGAGGACTCCGCTCCTGCGCAGGTGAGCACGGCGCCGCCCCCCTACCTGTGGCTGCC